GCGAATTATTTTCAATCGCTTCAGACACTTTTAAAGCATTCAAATCAGATCTTTATAGAGTTAAAAAAAAAAAAAGAACTTTAACTCGTGAAACAATAATATTTTTCTAACAATAATCCATAGCTCCACCCTGACTGGAAAATCCTGTTCTTCAGTGTTTTAAGTCAATTTTACGGTCATCGCGGTCTGAAAACGTGGGAGAGAAAACAGATGCAATGGACATCAATGTTGCTATTATGTATAAATGGGTAAAAACTTGAAATAGAAATTCCTATTTCCTTCGTTCATTATTAAACAATGGCGGCTTGCTAGTTAATGTTTGCACAATAAAACTGGTATTAACCAGCCAACGTTGATAAAACTCCCTTTGATAAATAGTGATTTTCCAAACGTAGCTTAGATGTGGCACAAGACCAAATGTATGGGGGTACCCAGTCGAACTCACCACTCACTTGTAATTTTTCTAGTAAGAGAAGCTTGCTAACCATTACATCGCCTCGAGGTGCCAATGTCTTTGATAAATAGAAAATATCCATGATTATTAAATATTCGAAAATTTCGATTTTAAACATCTTTTCTCATTATTCTTCTATCTGGTCGAAAGGTCTAATAATATACAATAATTATTATTATTTTTGTTGCCATTATTATCACTGTTGTTTTTTATGTATCGGATTACTTTTATCGGCTTAATATATCTACATTTTTTAAGAAACTTACCTGGACAATCTTTCTTTATTCTCATTTTTAAAATATTCATAATAACTTGTCTTGATGGTGGTGGGTTTGTTGTACAATCTGCAACAATTTCTTTTTTTTATTTATAAATAAATCCAAAATATATGAACCATTGAAACAACATCCCATATACATGAATAAATTATTATTTATTATTTTACATGTCCAGTACTTACTTACATTCTATAACCTTCTTCAATCTTTTAATCATCGAATTTTCTACTCTTTCAACATTAACATTACTCCCAGAGATTTTTTTTATATTCTTTTCAGCGGTTTTTATTACTTTGCAGATGTTTCCTTGAACATTGTTTTCCATTCTAATATACGGTTTTGTTACCACAGTACAGGGCCTCTATTCTTTTACCTCCCTTTGTTTTCCCCTTTTTTAGTTTAGGTACGTTTTAGATTAGGCACCGTTTTTTACCACTTCCTGTTAGCTTTTATTAATCACCGGAAAAGACACAATAAAGCACGAGCTCAAGCACACGGTTCATATTGTTCTTATCCAGCTAAACCTGCCCCTCAACGATAACATCGCCGCCATGTAAACTTTAAAACCTTTTCTGTCTGCATTGGTTTTCTTGAACATCATATAATTATTTGAACATATCTTTAATGTAGCCACCTTTATATACATTTGTTTTCCTATTGTATCTATGTAGAATCCCTTTCACCACGTGTTAACTGTTTACTTTATCTTCAGAGTTTTAATTGCTTTGTTGCATTTATCTGTCTGTCTTATGTTACGCTCGCGTAGAACACGGAACATACATCTTTTTAATGAACTTTTCAATTGCGTTGATATTAAGACTGTTGTTTACCCAATTTGGTGTCATTGAAGCTTTTTTTGGCAAGATAGGCAACAGTCAATTTTGCAAAATATGAAAGGGCACAAGTTACCATGGATATACATTTTGATTCCAGGCTTCTTAGCTTATGGAATCCTCCAAATTTGCCTGTCACCCCACTGAGGGAAAATGCACTCTTCCCCCAAATCAACTTTAGCCAATCATTAATTCATTTTTTAAAATTGACTTCTCATTGGTTAAAAGGACCCAAAAAAATATAGCAAGTTGTGACAAATCTGTTTTCCCGCTTACCTATCTGGAGCCGGTTTGAAACCCCAAAAAATCAATAAATAGGATTGCTTCACTTGATTCAGTCAGTCAGTAACTAAGTTGCGAGAGATACCGACAAACTCAACGCGCGCCAACACACTGACTCAACAAACACCTCGCGCGCCGACTAACTGACTCAACAACCACCACTCTCTCTCGGCAACTCATCACAACCCACACAGCTATTGCGGCGTGAAGATACTTAAATTACAACTGACTAAAAAAGTGACATTACCACTATGACATAGTAATTGTACATTTAATCAACCTCAGCATACCAGTCAGTAACTAAGTCTTTGAGAGATGACAACAAACTCCACGCGTGCCAGCACACTGGCTCAACAACCCACCCTTTCTCTCTCTCTCTCTCTCTCTCTCTCTCTCTCTCTCTCTCTCTCTCTCTCTCTCTCAGCAGCTGAACACAACTCAGAAAGTCTTGCCGCGTCAATTGACCCAACTTACAATTTACTAGAAAAAGTGACATTATCACTACCGAAGTAGTAATTGTATTTAGTCACCTTAGATCATATCAGTCAAAGGCACATAACTCCTTATGACTTTAAACAATATTTACAATTGTCGCACACATACACACTATTATTTGAACCCACACAAGTGACATTTCACCTTGCAGAAATCAAACTGTTTTAATTTCATAGACAAACCTTAACTACAAGCTTTCATACACCAAATCACTGCATGGTCACTCCTTGCAATTTCATCTCACTTATCACATTGAACAAGCTATCTTAAAATTCACTTTGTGTATATCAAACGTATAATAAATTCATGTTATTTGTTGAAATCTATAACTACGTTGTTTCTCCTTGATTTCTGCCAATTGAATTGCCTTCAAATGTTTGTTTATTTTATTTGTTGTGGATGAATGTTTAACGAACACGCACGTTTTTAAGCCTTCACACAATTACACCTGATACATCCAAATTAGCTCAAATTCCGCAACAAGCTGTAACCTTTAGCCGTCAAAAATCATCTTGTCCAACAACTTACCTTGACACTATATTCAATATTAAAAGAGCTAATAATGTTATTGTTTACAATACGAGCACAAACATTACTCGCCTCTCAAATGTTGTCTTTTATTTTAAATCGTGTTGGTTTTAAGCCGTGTTCATTTCAGGACAAAATTTTAATCACAGCCATCAGGTCCATCTCATGTAGCTCTACATTCATCTCTAAAAATCAGTTTCTTCGTGATGTTTGCTTACTTTGATTACTTTAGCCATAGTTCTTAATACCCTGCGGCTTTTCGCATTCGCAACTCGAGCTAATTACAATGACTTTCTTCTGGACAATGTCCCGTTTTTGTTTTTTCCTTTTAATTTTTCTATTTTATTAGTCATTGCAGTCCCCCATTTGATTGTGCCTAATTTATAAATTCCACTTGTAAGTATGAACAGGAAAAACATATGGCTTGACACTACCTGCAATGTCAAACATTCACCGGGGTTTGCAAAGATCTGAAACTGATTCAAGATAAGGAAGTAGTGGGCCCTATAAATCATCTTTATACTAACACGATCTTTTGATTATCCGTCCATTTTGTCAGCACATTCACTCGATCCTACCACTTCTCTTTTTAATTTCTTTATTATTTCACTACATTTTTCCTTCTCTTTTACCCCTTGCTTAATCCCCCATCACCTCTCCATTTCACCGATAAGAGCTACAAAACATCTATTAAAGTAGCACCTAGTTTCCACCGCTTCTTTCAAATCGTATACGCTGCAATTTCATAAACCATACATGTCACAAGGGTAAGTGTTAAAAATTAACATCCAAGTTAAACTGACCGTTCGGTTGAATCGATCAATGAGCTCTACGTTGCATAGACCATTTGGTTGAATCTATCGATGCGCTCTATATTGCACTGACCATCCGGGTGAATCGACCGATGACACCTACGTTGGACTGACCATTCGTTTGAATCGACTGTTGACAGCTACATTGTACTGGCCATTCGGATGAATCGACCGATGAGCTCTACATTACACTAACCATTCAGTTGAATCGACCGATGACCGGTACATTGTACTGGCCATTCGGATGAATCGACCGATGGCCTCTACGTTGGACTGACCATTCGGTTGAATCGATTGATGACCGGTACATTGTACTGACCATTCGGTTAAATTGACCGATGACCTCTACGTTGCACACCTTGCTTCCTCTCCCTTACGCCCATATAACGACCTTATTCAATAATCTTCTACATTGTGTGGCAACGTATTCAGTAAACATTTAGTATACATTATAAACACTCGCCAATATCAAGCAAAAATGATTGTCAACTGAGCGATTGGATAGCCCTCTTTTGTTCAATGGGGAAAGCAGGTTTGTGCATCTATTCAGGTAAAGCTCATTTGCAAATGCGATGTAAACCTGGACAGCGACATCTTCCAGGGAATATTTTCCCACGGCATCGAACTTCATTAACTGATACATTGCTGTGAGGTGAAATAAATTGTAATTCACGCTTTCTTTCTGGTCTTTGTTGAGTGAATATCTACCATTTAGCCATGCTAGCTGATGCTTTTTTTTAAACAGAATAATACACGTGCACACAATACCCGTGCTACTCAACGTGCTCTGCAAAATATTTGACAGCTTCCCTACCCAGAAGGCTCATTAGACATCTCTCCGATTGAACACGCATGAGTCATGATGGGACAACGACGGACTCGTTCAGTTAGCCCGCCTACAACTCTTACTGCACTGCGTCAAGAAACTTGCAAGAATCTATTGGCTATTCGCCATCTGTACGATCGTATACCACCAAGAGTACAGCCCTATATTAACAAACGAGGAAAATATAGAACAGTTTTCATATTTGGGGCTAAGTACTGTAGATACACACTATATTTTGATTAATTCATTCATTTTTTTACGGATTATAGAACTTTTGCAGGTTATTTAAAGCCAGAAAATATTTTTAGATTGTAAGTATTTTTTCGATAATAATGGTTTAGCGATACAAGTCTTAATAATTAACCCATAGCTGGGGGAGAAGAGGTGGATTCATACCTTTTCCTAAGCATATCTATGTGTAAATGAATATAACAAACCCAATGGGAACTGGAATTCTTAGCTATCATCCATTACTCCACCCGCACATCCGAGCTTACAGCACCTGGTATTTCCAAGCGGTCACTCATTTCGTTCTGACCAGGCACGACGCTGCTTAACTTCGGTGACCGTACAAGAACCGGTGTTTCAACGTGATGTGTTCGTAAGCCGCATCATATTTTGGAAACTGAGCTGGTATTGATCTGTAAAAATGATCATTTACTGTCATCCAGCTATATTACCTGAATGTGTAATCATTTGTAAATTGAAACATATATACGGCATGTTGCAATTTTATTATTTGTCAGTGTGTTCATATGTTGTGTGTGTGTGTGTGTGTGTGTTTTTCTATGGAACGAAATTATTAAAATACAGGTGTATGAATGAATACATATATATAGTTACGAATATATAGATATAAATAAATACATTGAAACATCACGTGGCTAAAAAGCGTAGATGTTCATATAATAAAACCAAATGTAACTTAAAGTTAGCAGATTTAGGCCTTACGGTGCTTCCATAAAAAGAAAGAGGAAATTTTCAAACCATGCTGATCACGAGTAAGCTCCCCTTACCGGATGTCGGCAATGCACCATGAAATGACCTTTAAACGTGTACGGATTTGTCAAAGCTCGTTTTCAGAATACAAACTAATGTGTTTCTATTTATATTCTCATAGCTTTGAAGAAATTAAATAAGGAGCCAACTAGCTTTTAGCTTTGGGGAAAATTGTAATGTAACTGAAAAATGTATGCGAAAGGTTCAGATGCTGTTTAGTGCGAAAAAAAGACAGAAAGATGGTGGTTCTCAATCGGGATCTATATGGACCCTGAGGGTCAATATACCGTTACTGGGGGTCAGCACAAAAATAGTAAATTGGGGGTCCATGATAACATAGAGCAATTTCACTTCGCAATGGTTGTTACAAATGAGAATTAAATTTTCTAAAGTAATCTACGCCATCTTAAATCACTAAAAATAAAGAAACAACACTTAAATGAGTAAAAAAACATCAAGCGAGGCACATAAACGTCACTTTTACTCTACCGCATGTTTTGATTGGAAAAGTTGAATAAAACCAGAGAAGGATATATAAAGGAATATAAAGGAAAATTATATAAAGATTATAAATTATTATATAAATGAATTTAATATATTAATAATAAATAATAAATATTAATAAAATAAAATTAATTGGAAAATTCCTAAACTTAAGGAATCAGCACATATGCTAGACCACAAAAATATCTCCTGAGCCAACCAAGCATAGAAATGAATACAATATAGGAATCAGTAATAAGGAGTGCCAGAGAAAAACAATAATAACAACGAAAATTGCAATATGAGATCTGGTAAAAAAATATATAACAGCAAAAATTGCAATATGAGCACTGTTAAAAAATGATGCTGAAGACATTAATTTTATACGTCCCAGAAATTCATAGACAGATGTCCTTACGGACACATGGCACAATGGATAAAGGCGTTGGTTAGATCCAGTGACAGAACCCAAACAGTTGTGTGTTCAATACCTGGTTAAGGCAGTGGAGAATTTGGAGATGTGAATTAACAAGAGATAACTGATAACTGATATCCATTAAACATGGCACGTGGAACTAGAACAGTCTATCCTAGCGAGCGAAATAAAGAATTTAGTTCGACATTCCAATCACCTGAAGAAGGCCGGGGCGTAAAACGGCCGAAACGTTGTGATAAATATGGCAACAAAGATGAGGACAATTGTCCGAATAATGTAAATAGTGTACCTAATACCTCATCTCAGAAATATAGACAGATAAAATTAATATATTAATATGAATTAATAGATACTCTAGTCCTATCTTCCTTTAAATTCATTGCAATTTTCTCCATTCTTTTGGGAAATTTTGTACTGACGATGGACAAGAGCATCACCAACAAAAGCAATGACTTCCAGCGTCTTCCACAATTTTTACACTTCCCATATCACACCAAGAAAGCTAGGATACAAATATACAAAACCCAAAGTACCCATCACAATGCTCTCTCTGATAAAGTTATACCAGGCACATGCAGCACAGCCAAATATGAGTGAAATGGTGATAGGTTTTGAGAAAAGCAGTACATAAAGATGCAGGTTGTTCCCTGTTAGAAATATCTTCAAGTCCAAAAAGCTATTTGATTTACTAACGGAAATTTTCAAGATGAGTACGATCATTATCATGTTATTCACGTTTCAGTTTCATGTTGTTCATGCTGCCTGCGTGTCATTCATTTTAACGCATTGATTTGGCTCCGGGGTATGGCTCCGGGGCCAACAGTCTAACTCTCTGCTTTCGAGCGGAGAGGAACCCGGACAAGGCTCCGCCGAAGGGCAGAGTCTTGTTCGGGGTGGTTGACTGCCCCTGAACTCGTTTATGCGGATTCAAAAAGAGAATATTTTTGGCCGAGCCTACGGGCTCGAAAATCCCACGTTAAACCCGGCCTTGTGCCATATGTAACCCTCGTGGGGGGGTAGCTAAATATCATGATTACCACTACAACCGTTTACCACTACAACTGTATATTTCTCAAAACAAGCGATGTTTGTACAAAGACTTATATTTTTGTAGATTTCTTAAATTTTTATAATTTTATACCACTTTTAAACATAATTTGAAGAAGACCGAATTACAGTCGAAATGATGTTGAGCATTCTTAAACACTATGTCGTTTCTTTTCTTTTTCTCTCCTTAAATTGCGCTGTTTTCTTATCTGTTGAAAAATTCTGGAAAAAATACATAAATCATTATTATTATTATCATTATTATTATTATCATTATTATTATTATTATTATTGTTGTTGTTTTATTTCCTTTGGTTTCTGGTGAACACTCATTTCATTCTGGGTCATGTCCAGAGACTTAAGGTCAGAAATGGCATCATGATATTTTCCATTGAGCACATATTTTACATAGATAAGGCCCTTCGTAAGGTGTGAGTTGTACTTGTGAGTCCAATTTTTTGTATTTCTTTAAGGCATTGGCTAGCAGGTATTCCTTCAATGAATCTATTGGAATCATTTCCAATAAATTCGAGGGCCCCAAACTGGAATTATTAATGCCGTAATGTGCCTCATTTGTGAGATTTCGATTTCAAGGTTCTTATATTTTGATTAGTTTTTGATGATCGTCAAAGATACATTGTAGTCTGCAAGAACTGCTATATCAATAAGGAAGAACATTTTGTCTTTGCGGTCTCTGATCATGCCAGGGCGATTAGCTTTGATTGTTTTATTATTATTATTATTCAATTCATAGATGTTAATATTTTTCTATTTCTTTTATACTAATCATGTCCAAGTGCCTTGCTTATTCATTTATTGTACAAATGTCAAAAAAAAAAAAATAACAAACAGAAAAGCAGACAGAAAAATATTTTCGTTTATCGCTGAAAATCTACGACTGAGAGATGTAAATTACTTTTGTAACGAAAAATATTTAAATGATAATTCTTGTCATTACCTTCTTAATTAGTAAAAAAAAAAACCTGGCGACATTAACCAGTTTAGTCTGTCTAGGATTTGCGCTCAACTTTGACCAGAGCATTTTTCATTTATATATAGAATACAAGACATTGTTCTACGGCAGTCGTTCAAACAACGACTGAAATATTTTTGTAGGCAAATAAGCTTGAGAAATAGTTGCTATGATATGAAAGGGAAAAGCTACAGGGAAAAAGAGAGACGCACAAATATATCATGAAAAGTAAAAGCGAAGAAAGAAAGAAAGAAAGAAAGAAAGAAAGAAGAAATGAAAGGAAACCAACTAAAATAGCAAAGCTGACACGAGAAAAATCCAAAAAATTTTGAAAAAAAAATAACGGCCGCGATTGGTTGACATCATTCTTTTGTTTCAAAATCGCAGCAGGAAGAAAAGTCGTCTAAAAAGTCGACATTAATGAAGAAACCATAGGATTCTGGAAAACATTTCAGGTTGTTTTGCAGACATTCACTAAGGAATTTGGGGGTGGAGGGAATAAAGTTGCATGTTTCTCAACCTTAATGACTCAAGAAACACGAGAGCGAGAATAGCAATATTAAACGTCGATTCAAAATATGGAGTTTAATAGAGCGGATCGTAAGACTGAAACATATATATATATATATATATATATATATATATATATATATATATATATATATATATATATATATATATATATAGAACGTAGCTGTCTACATGGCACAGTGGAACTTTCAGAGGTAAATTAAGAGGAGATAATTGATAACTGACATCCATTAAACATGGCACGTGGAACTAGAACAGTCTACCCCAGTGAGCGAAATAAAGGGTTCAGTTCGAAATTCCAACCACCTGAAGAAGGCCGGAGAGTACAACGGCCGAAACGTTATAATAAATATGGCGACAAAGATGAGGACAATAGTCCGAATAATGGAAATAATGTTTAGAACGGTCGCTTTCTGACCATGAGACCCGGGTTCAAATATCACCACGGTTGATTTCTCAGAAAGGAGACTTCACGGTGCTATCAGTTGGGGGGCGATCCCAGCGTGTGGCACCTTTGTAAAGTGCCTGAAAACCAAAGCCTTTGGGGTGAAATTGGGTAGACGGAACAATTGAGGGCCGTCGATATGTGGTGCTAGCACGAAGTTACAAGTCATCATGACCGAGGGTCTAAATGTTCTGGTGTTGTTCAGATTGTTGATCATTCTAGATAAGACGTTCTTTTCCAGAAACTGTAACTAAGGTCTGCTCAGAATAGTTGCAGTATAAACCAGAGTTAGGTCTGTGGGTGTTGAACAAACATAAAATGCGCCTGAGCGAACGTCTGCAGTGCAGATTAGCTAACCGGCCTAGTAGACGTGTATCCTCGAATACGAGTTGCAAGCTATTATACATATATATATATATATATATATATATATATATATATATATATATATATATATATATATGATAGATAAAATATTTAAGTAAATGCTCTGTTTATAATAGACAGTATTAACAACATTTACCGGCCTGAATGTCCGAGAAATTGTCTTAAATAATTGTCGGACTTTGTTCATTTCATAATGTGTATATATATATATATATATATATATATATATATATATATATATATATATATATATAATATATATTCAAATGGAGTCCGACAATTATTTTAAGACATTTTTATG